TGCATAAACCACCTCTCTCATTCGGATTACAAATTCAAAACGAGCTGAATCGGGTCAGAAAAATCCAAATGGGGTGTTTACATGACGCATTTTTATTCCGAATGGCCGTTTAATCCGATTACTTATGTCCATGTAAACGTAGCTAGTCTGCAGTGGAGCAGGAGCTCAGAGCTGCAGATGCCCGGTGTGCTCCCCACTTCCCACATTAAAAAGAAAGAGGAAAACAAAAGGTGAGTGGTGAGCAGAGAAACTAAGAGGAGAAAGGGAAAAAGTTTGTGCAAGATGCAGCCAAATGAGTTAAACTTATATTTTCTGTGATGGAGGGACCGAGGCTAGCGTGAATTAAGTCAGCCAGCCCAGAGATGACAGAGACAGCAGCATCGATCTAGGTTAGCATCTCTGTCTACATGCTCCAACATACCAGAAGCATATACATGTATTTCTGAATGCATTTAGAGCTCACAGAACATTAAACTAACCATAGAGGTGTAGCCTGGCCCTTGCCTTCCTACGCAGCTACGCTCAATTCTAGTTTCCCTTCACTGCTCCTTGTACGAAGCAAAATGAAGGACAGGGTAGGGTTGGGCAATATTGGCAAAAAAAATTAATTACGATTAATTGTGGTATTTAGCCAATAACGATTGACGATTAATGCCCTGAGTCCCTGGACACCCTTATTTCGTAGTAACATGACCAGTTTAGTGGGAAAGATTTGCTTTTTGTAAAAAAATAATGTTCCAAATTGTGTGAAAATTACAGATTTCAGGCTATACATCATATTTTAAATTGTGTAGATAGATAAATTACAGAAGTTTATTTTAATTTTCGTCATATTTGAAGCGGAGAGGAGCACCGAGCAGACTGCCCAGTCAGTTGGTGGCATTAATTGTATTAATTGTCAAGTGCCAAAAAGTAATCGATTAATGTTTTTCTGACGATTAATTGCACATGATACGATTATGCCCAACCCTACTGGTTTTAACCAGGCCAGTAGAGATGGGGTGTTGGATAGACTCCCTCCATTCCACTAGGGGGCGCTAGATCTTCTACAGCGTGTAAAACCGGAAGTTACTTTAAACGAATATCAGATTGATCCTTTTTTGTGATTTACAGTAAAGTTCAGTAAAATTGCAGCTACAAATATCCTCCCTTGGGTCTTAGCCCTGCTGGGGGCTAAGCACCCTTAAATGTCAGATCCTAGAATCGCCCCTGTCTAATATAGGCTACTGTTCAGCGTTATCTTGTGCTAAAAGATAAAGCGTGTTCATGCTGAACATCAATACAAAACACAAGACATAATCACACACTTACACCGCCGTCATCTGAAGATGTGTGACGAACAGTAGGGAGGGAGCCTTCCTTCAGTCGAAGTCTGTCAGCAAACCCGGTCGCGTATTGTTGGTAGTTTTCAAAGCAGTCCGTCGTGAAATGATGCGCGCAAACTACAACCGTCTTTGGCAATGTCGCAGGGACGTTGCCGTGATTAAAAATAAAATTAAGCCACTCATTTCTGTTCTCCGCGACCGGGAGAACATGCGTGGATGGGTGTGGTGCGTTACAGCCGACAACATTACATCTAACGTTCCCAGCAGCAGCCATTGTGCTACGGTGGTCTTCCTGTGACGAAGGGGGTGGAGCTCCACCTTGGGTTGCCATGTAAGGTGGGAGGTTTTTTTTTTGTAACAGATTATTTGCAGACACCAAAAAAAAAACATTAGGCTACTGCCAAAACAGAGCTGGGTGCATTTTATTTATTTATTTATTTATTTATTTATTTATTTATTTATTTATTTATTTATTTATTTTATTGTAGAAGCAGTAGAGACCCAAATGGATGTACAAAAGCATGCAAAAAGTGGTCCCCATTAATTTAAATATGCTTAATTAACAGTTTTCTTCAGTTTTTTTATTAGGGATGCACAACATTTCAGCATTAACATCGGTATTGGCCAATACTGGTCAATTTTTAGGAAATCGTTATCGGCCCAATACGTAAAACTGGGCCGATATTAATGTCCGTAATAGATTTCCCAATTTTTAGTTTTGTGTTTCTCTTTTTGGAGGCGAAATGTTTGGTCCAGTGGTACAGTATCTGTTTGAACATGATAATGATATCGACGCTGCGCAGCCAGGAATAACAGAAGTAGAGCCGTGTCAGAGGTCTGGTAGTTTATTTATCAAAAAAAAAAAAAAGACACAAGTGTGTTTGTGCTTATATGTATATAAATAATTTGTGTGTTTGTGTAATATCAGTAAATATCAGTTATCGGCCATAGAAGCAATGATTATATTGAATATTGATATCGGCTGAAATTTTCATATCGGTGCATCCCTGTTTTTCTATTGTCCAACACTTTGATGGAACCCTTGTGATAAGAACTGCTTGAGCTGCTATTGCATACTCAAACAAAATTATAAGTTCACCTTAAATACAGAGCTCATGAGCTTGGTTGCTGATGACTTCTTCGGCCTGCAGAGGTGTGTGATCATTTCCGTTTATCACAATGCGTGTTTGTTGTCAAAAATAATTAAGCAGAAATGTATTGTGCTCATAAAATGGGTCAAATGTGGAAGAAGTAGTTCTCTTCTGTTCTGGTAATGATTGTGCACACATAGGATGCACAACGACCACAAAAAGGTCACAGAGGTGTATGGAGGGCTCACCTCCGCTTGCTGCCTTCAAGTGCTTTTTGATGTGAACGTGTGGGTATGAGCTGGAAGCATATATCACATTGAGTTTCCAGAAATGTAAATGATTTCCATGTAAAAGGCGGGTATTCAAGTGGGCTCTTTAAACGGACGGCAAACATAATTTTATCTGAATGTTTAAAAAATGTGTGAAACACTACGGTTTAGCCCATATTAAACACATCAGACAGATCCTGTTTTGAGAGAGCCACGTTCTTCATGTTTACATTACGGGCCTATACTGTAAATGTACATTAACAGCCTCAGGAGTGGGATTTTTTTTCCCTGAAACATCCAAGTTCACAAGTTGTTTATGTGAGGTTCTGAGCTGTAATCATGAACTAATGGATTCCGATTGAACGCTGAAGATTTTAATGGGTTGTCCTGTACTATTTTCTTGATGGAACAGTTTTGCCGAATTTTATTTTACTCTTAATCTAGACAAAAAAAGTATTGATACAATGTTGTTTTAGAACAGCAGTTCTGTCCATATGAGTGTGACAAATTCACACATGAAGACCACTAACACACTTGCAATGCAAACATGCCACAAATATTTTACTGTAAAACTGAACTCCCTGACAGCTCCCTTTTAATTTGACAGCTTCCTTTAAATCTGTAGCTACCAGGTTATGGTAAAGAAAAGGAAATTCACAAGGACCTTTGCTTTTATTTTCACAACACAATGAACTTAACAGTTTCTTTAAAAGTGAACTATAAAGAGATGTCATAATCAGAGTATATGTTGTGAACGACTCCGCTACAACATCAAATAGCCCAGTATCTGTAAAACTGAGTTATGTCAACTTTAAAGTTTTCCAACTGACTGTGGCTGACATCTTGAATCATATAATCAAATTTTTATATTCCTCATGATTAGCTAGCTACCTTTTGCAAATTGAATTAAAATGCATAAATGTGTAAACTAGAATTACAAGTTCATTTAGAGGGGCTTCAAATTGAAAGGGTGACTGAAATTAATTTTCTTTGAGTAATGATTGATGAAAAAATAAGCTGGAAATCTCACACCAGACATATACAAGCCAAAGTGTCAAGGGGAGTTGCAATATTACATAAAGCAAAACAAGTTCTGAATTACAAATCACTTCATATTCTTTACTGTTCCATAGTTCTTCCATATTTAAATAATTGTGCAGCAGTTTGGGGCAATAATTATAAAACTGTTATACAACCATTATTCATTTTGCAAAAGAAAGCAATAAGGGTAATTCATGGGGCTGGACATAGGGATCACACCAATTCATTATTCTTTTTGTCAAAACTACTAAAATTTACAGATCTGGCAGAGGTACAAACAGTACTAATAACATTTAAAGCAAAAAACAAATTATTACCAGGCAATATTCAGAAATTATTTGTTGAAGGGGAGGGGAGTTATCATTTAAAGGGTCAGTTTAACTTTAAATTAAGGATTGTTACAACTCGTACAGGGTTTTGTGTTTGTGTTGGTGGAGTAAAACTGTGGAACAGTCTGAGTGTGGAACTTAAGGAATGTCCAAACATAAAAAAAAATTAAGGAGATGTATAAAAATGTTATTCACAAAAGATTTAGGGATGCTGAGTATGTCTGAGTATTGTTATTATTTTTTATTTTATTGTAGCTCTTTTTTTTTTGCAATATCTGGAGATGTTTGGGGCTGTGTATATATGTGCGTACATCTATGCATATACACTGCATGTAGATGTACATTTACGTTCCTGAATATATTCTGGTATTATATAAAATTCTAGGTAAACAG